TACAAGGTTACTTGTTGAATTGCATTCAATCGAGGATTTAAAATCCAAAAAAAAAATGGCTACATGATACGATCTCCTACTATATTCATAGCTCCCCCTTGTCCACACGTATAAGTAATTTTCTGAATTATAGCATGTGCTACAAACACAACTCGTAAGCCAACTAGTCTAACATTGTGATTTCTAATCATCAATTGGTTGTGCTTCTCTACGACTACTAATATAGATTATTTACTTCTAAGTACAATTCAGAATGCTAAGTACAATTCTTGATCATGTACTGCTGCTGGAGTATAATATTATTTGCATGTAATGGGAAAAAAATCTTTTCGACCAATTCTGCGAGCTTCACCCGCTAAACAATATGGCACATGGTTAAATCATATTTAGTTATGTATTTGAAATCCAAAAAGTTCTGATTCAGTATGTCAGATGTGTTTGAGGGAAGATTATTGGCTTCCATATATCAAAGCGATCCTTCAGGGATTGCCCAGAAAAGTAAATACTTTTTCAGTAAGGCATTATTTTTTTACGTCTTAATTGATAGAGAGAAAATTTAAAGTGTTTGTCTTCTGGACAAAGATACTTAAAGAATCAAGAGATATAATCGTGGAAAAATCACAAGGGTGTCCAGTAAAAATAAACGTTCGAGGCCAAAGACAAGTAATAATTACTATCATATATCACACTACACTAATCATGGGCACGAAAGATTAGTGCATGAGAACTTAGAAATATTCACATTTTAATAAGATCACACATAATCACTAAAATCATGAAGCTCCTTTTTCTAAAGATCTTCATAAAGGTTATCTTTCAAATGTTTGCTTCTAGCAAACTAGTCTAATATTAAAACTCACACAAAATTTTTAATGCTCGGACGATCAATGACCATCACAAACTCAAGCAAGTAGAAATTAAACAAAGGCATAACCAGTTTGTGCTATCCTTTCTTCTAAACTTAAGGCTGCCATATTCAAAACACCACCAAGACAATTTTGAATAGAAACTAATATTGCATAATTTCAGTGGAGAAGGAGAATCAGTGCAATTAGCAATAAAAAATAGACCACTTATGTACGCCAACATGAGCTTTAAAAAACCCACAACTTAATTTCAAGTTTTCATGAGGCTTAGATTTTACTTCAAGCAAGCAAATAGAATATTTAAAGCAAAATCATCAAATTGATATATTATGACAATTTTTCATGATTAATGCTCTGTCTATTCATACTCTAGACTAGATAGCTAGTATGTTTTAATTTTCCATTTTAGCGACCAACAATTCAATTCATCTTTCTTATTTTTGAGAATAAAGATGAGTAATAAAACAAAATACTTTCACCTATAGCAAAAGTTACATAAAAAATGAAGACATTTGTCCTTTTGGTAGGCTAGATCAGAATCAAATCATAATAAGACACAAATTTCTTTGGGTACAGTCAAAACAACCTCGGCCGGTTGAATGCATAAAAAAAAATTCAGGCCAGTGTACTAATAAATAAGCAATTTAGTCTTTGATCCAGCAAAATTGCATGCTATTTATGCAAGCCAATTCAGCTGACTATCAGGGTCAAATCCGAACCACACACCTACTGTTTATTATGCTCTCGGTGAAAGAATTAATATTTCTAAAAAGACACTACCTACTGTTTATTATGCTCTCGGTGAAAGAATAATAGCATGGAGAGAACTACTCCAATGATTTTAATTAATCAGCAAAATTTGGACCTTGAAGGATTCAAACAAAAGTATAATGGATCATCGAGTCTTTCATATACTTGGATTCCTGAGACATTCACATGCATATAAATATCCAATTTTATTTGAAACCAACACACATGTATGTCGGCATGACCTTGCAGCTAGTCACAAATAACACACATATGATAAACAACAGCACTTAATAAAACAAGCAAGAATACTAGGCAAGTATGAAAAAATTCCAGTTTGAACAACTTTTTGATATAGGTGTGAACAAAAATCACAAATGGAAATTTCATCAAAATACATACCACTGCAGAGCTGACAGTTGACAGCCTTCCTAACGAGTACGAACCGACTAGCTAGAGCTTTCGTGCTGATAATGTGTTGTAATATACTAAAGAAATAAAACAAAAGACAAGAGACAAGAGACAAGAGAAGAAGAGAAATTGTAATTTTTATATTCAATTATTCCATTTCCATACATGATACAATTTATAGATGCATGATGGAAGACAAAAGGACATCAAGTTAATAGTCCACATACAAAGTAATGTCCACATACATTTTGTCTTTTAGATATCAACAAAATATCTTTTAGATTTCAACACATTCAAATTTTTTTATAGGAAATTAATCTTAAAAGGCATATTAATTATAGGACATGTATTTTCAAATGTGAACCCGTGTTTGTGTCACCAAAAAAAAGGAAAAAATTAAGGAAAAAAAAACTCATGCAACTATTTTTTTCTTGTAAATCAAACAAATTGACTACCTAGAAGATAAAATATTAAACAACTTCATTGTGGTATTAATCATGTATAAATGAGTAAAAAAGTTATCCGATTTTATAAAATTTCTGAAACTTAACTTTGACAGCAAAAACTTAAAACACACTTTATATCTTATTTCTGCAGAGTCTAAATGTATTAGATCACGTTCAACGATTTGAATTTCAAATTTAAGCTTCAATTTGGAATTCCAAGGTTTAAATTTGAATCTACAATGTCCACATCTTGGATACTGTTAACAGAAGTTGAGTTCAACTCTATAAATAAATAAACTTATAATACAACGCTTGTTTGGCAATTCCCTTAAACAAATTTATTAGTAATTTTAGTAGGCAGAAACTGGTCCAATATTAAACCCAGTTCGGTAGAAAACTAGCCCAAATCTTAAACTACTTCTTGATAGGCTATTTTTTTGCCTTCAACTGGTTTTGTTCCATTCAAACTCCTCCCAATCTATAGCTATTGATATCAGTTATCGAATATGGGGTTTATATGTAGATTATGGGGGTGTTAGGGTCCTCAAGCTTCCTCAAATGACTGGTTCCTATGTCAGATGTTCTATTTTGCACATGAAGAGCTTGTGAGAGGTCGGAGTTGGGATCTCCAGTGGTTCTTTCGATGATCAAGTTAGTATTTGAGCTTAAGTGGAGAAGCAAGAGATAAAGTAAAGAAAATTGTTCAGAATTGCTTAGAAGATCCCGACCTTACCCTAGACAGTTACCTATTATAGTAGGTCAGAAGGGCAGATAGGTAACTTTGGCCGAGTCGAGCTAGTGTCCTAGTCATCATCTACTTTATAGGTGTCGGTCGCTAAAGGGGGTGAGTTACCCAGGTATTTAATTTGAGAGTGACAGGAGCCGCATAGTGCTGACAAGGTCCGATCAGTCATAAAGAATATTGGGGCTAGAGCAATGATGATTCTGGCCATGCATTTAAGGTGATGACAATCGACTGTCAGCAGGGGGCTAGAGGACACACCACCGCCCGACTCGTCTCATTGGAGGCCGGCAATCGCCGCCTTTTTAGTTGGCCTCACAAATGATCGGTCTGGAAGGACCAAATGACACTAGGGAATGGAGTCGATTAAAGTGGTAGGCCGAGGGAGGATGCTTTTCGTCTCAATCTTGTGGATAGATCGATAAGCACCGCTTTTTCAGTCGGCTTCACAAGCTGTCAGCCTGTTAGGTCGTCCACTGGAGCTACTCGAGACGTCCCTCTGTAAATATGGTTGTTTAGGCACAGGGTAGGACACGTGTCAGCCTCCTAATAGAATCAACTTTTAAACTATTTTGCGTGCTATAACAAAAACAAAACTGGTTTAGGAAGAAAATAGTTAGGGAAGGAGTTGCCAAAATGACCCTTAATTTTGTCGTCTCCAAACTTATCC